CTCCAGTTATCTTCATCTGTGTCACTAATGATGTGTAGAAGATCACAGAATCATCAAACCTGTACCTGCCAGAGCCTCTCCTCAGCGACATCTGACCCACTTCCTGGAGAAACGCCGTCTGTGCTGAGAAGCAAATTAACGGATGAGCAGCAACATTTGTTTTCTGTTCCTAATTTATGCTTCAAATCTTAACAACTCATCATCAGGGAACATTTTTATCAAAGACGGTAAAAAGATAAAATGCAGAACAGGAATGAAGCACGTTTCACATTTATACTGCTTCTAACATTTTATAGGAACGGTTTTCTGTTTTACAGTAATAAGTTTATTTAATTCAGTATTTCTTTCGATGTGGATGACTTTAATAAGCTCGCTGTGGTACCTTGGCTGCTTGTAGGGTGGGAGAGTTTGACCAGGAACGGCAGCAGCTGAGTTTGTAGGGCGACCGGCGTGAGACTGAAGCTCCTGAACAAAGACTGGGCGGCCAGGCAGTTATTCTGATGCTGGAAAAAGAAATATAATCTTTCATTCACTTTGGTTCATCATTTTCAGTCAAATAACTTCAGAGATGTGAAGAAGGAAGCATAACTATGACCAAACCTGAACTTTGAGGCATTTTCTACCCAATCCCAATTTGCTACAAACATTTTTTTTTATGTATTTTCTGCTTTATTGTTGTCATACCTGTTTGCTGATCAGACACCAGCCTGGTTTGTGCAGCGGTCTGAAGCCAACAGGAAGCTGCCTGGAGTTGGAGTGAATTAACCCCCTGGTTGCCACGGACGATCCATAATCCTCCATAATGTGACGGATCTAAAAACACGAGAACAACAGAAGCTTTAGGACGTTGAAGCTTTGCTGAAGCTCCGAATATTTTTAAGGTGAAATATTATCTATTTCAGGACTAACCGGCCAATTTCCTATGAGAAGATCCGCATCAGAGAGATAATCAGAGGCTCTGTCGACATCGGCTATCTCAGAGAAGAAGTCCAGGTAATTCTGATGAAGGCAAAGGCTGAAAAACTCTCCAGAAGTCTGCGAACGCTCAACAACCAGCTGAATAAAATAAAGATGAAATGAAAAAAACAGCGTAAACATAAACAGAAGAACATCAGAATGATGTTAAATTGACTAAATAGGAGAAAACTTTACCTCAGGTTGGACTAGCAGTACTTCTCTATGATGATGCAACAGGTGACGCGGTAAGCAGGGTTCAGAGGCAGCTTCAGCTTCATTCACATCTTCAGGATTTCCACCTGATGATCAAGTCAACCAATCAATGAATCATCTGACTCCCACATTAACAGACGTTTGATTTGATCGTTCTGGGGCTGGGTTGTTGCACGGCTGCAGAGCTTTGTTCCAACAGTAACCGTGATGCTGAGTGTACTAAATACGTTTTCAGATATCATTACCCATAAAACTGGGCGGAGAACATCCCTGCATCTAAGATAGCAGCTTTTCCACGTGAAAAACAGTCAAATACTGCAGTGAAAAGGTGCAGGTACTGACCAACGCTAATCAAAACACCTGTTAGGCATATTTTAAAAAACTTAAGGCACCGCCACAGAGTGCTAAACGTGGATTGAATAAGGATCCTTCCACCTCAACATTATAATAATTAAATATCCTCCATCTTTAATAGGAAAACCAGTAACCAGGTGCTAAATGTTCCCATCTTGCCATAGCTTTACTCACGCTTGCAGTGCAGAATCTTCCCCAGCGCCCTGAACAGGAACAGAGACGCGTCTCTCCCACCAACAGCCTGGAGCTCTTCCTGCTCCTTCGCTGGTTTCACGCGTTTCGCCCTCCGTTTCGAAAGGGAAACATTTCTTTCTGTGGACGCTGCAGGGGGTTTCTTCAAAGAACTTTTTGTTTTTTCTGTCAAAAAAACATGAAAATAACCAAACTCCACTTTTCAAGACAAGTTTTCATCTACTGCATCTGCTCTGGTGTGAAATAAAGTCCTCACCTGGGAGACAGGAAAACTGGAGACTATTGATGGCACTCCGAATGTCCCCAGATGATCCTGAACAGAGCATCTCCAGTTCTGCTTTATCGGGAACAAACAACCTCTGATGGCTCTGCTGAAAATCAGAGGAACATTAAATCATTAAATCATGCAGTTAGAAAAAAAAAAACTCCCCATTTGTGATGCTTTGTTCACCTTTTCTGCCTCCGAACATAAAATCCTCTTCAGAACCTTCGTCATTGTTGTTGGAGCAACTGGATTAAAGCTGGAATGAAGGACATGAAACAGGGTTACTATGGTTACATTGTTTTAAAACTTAAATTTGATACAAAAAAAACTGAAACCAGAAACTTATTGAAATTTGTTTTGTTATTTCAATGAACTGTGTGTCGCCTTTCCAGTCAAATTCTTCACTACACTCAGAACTATAACAGCAAGAAGCAGCCAATAAAAGATACGAGGGGCGTTCGATAAATGACGCCCCTGATCCACTTCCAGTTGTTTGAACTAGCTGAAAGTTTGCATGTGCAATTATTTATATCTCTATAGATTAAGAGGCAAGTTACAGCTCTGGACTAGTTGTGGTTTCTGCTTTACGGGTGTTTACAATGTCTGCAACATGAACCTGATGCAGCTGATGTGAAGCTCCTCCTGAATCTCCTGAGGGAACAAAGAGCGTAAGCTGCCTTCTCCTCTGGAAGAGCCAGATACTATGAACACCAGCGGACACTGACTGCTCTTCACAAAGACTCTGGAAGAAAGAGAAACAAACAAAATAAACAGAATCAATGAACGGCTCATATGCAGCTTTACATAACCGTTCTTCACCAAATAATAATAATCTTTCTGCAGATATATGACATGACGACCATTACAGAGTCCAGAACTGAGAGCAATGATCGCTAAACTGCCAACTACCACCAGACTGGGCCTCAGGAACGGATCTAGCACCAGACTGGGCCTCAGGAACGGATCTAGCACCAGACTGGGCCTCAGGAACGGATCTAGCACCAGACTGGGCCTCAGGAACGGATCTAGCACCAGA